TATTCACCTTGAACTGGACGAATAATTTTTCTTTAATGGGTTGGACGAGAGCGATTTGCTCCAGACACCCGACAGGGCCCTCATCCCTGTCATTCGCAGTAGAAAGAAAAGGAGATATTGTGGAAGGAGATCGGGGTGCTTGGTAAGGAGCCGGCGACGAGTGGCTCATCTGCCTTTGCCATCAATACTATTGGCCAACTTACAATCGCTTGATAATAAAATGGACGAACTACAGTCACGTATATCCTACCAACGGGACATTAAAAACTGTAATATCTTATGTTTCACCGAGTGATGGCTGAACGAAGACATGAATAACATAAAGCTGGCTGGTTATACACTGTATCGCAGGATAGAACAGCAGCCTCTGGTAAGACAAGGGGTGGCGGTCTATGTATATTTGTAAACAACAGCCGGTGCACGATATCTAAGGAAGTCTCGAGATTTTGTGGAATATCTCATGATAAGCTGTAGACCACACTATCTACAGAGAAAGTTTTCATCTATATTCTTCGTAGCTGTCTATTTACCACCACAAACCGATGCTGGCACTAAGACCGCACTCAATGAACTGTATACGGCCATAAGCAAACAGGAAAACGCTCATCCAGAGGCGGCGCTCCTACTGGCCGGGGACTTTAATGCAGGGAAACTTAAATCCGTTTTACCTAATTTCTACCAGCATGTTAAATGGCAACCAGAGGGGAACAAACTCTAAACCACAATTACTCCACACACAGAGACACGTACAAAGCTCTCCCTCGCCCTCCATTTGGCAAATCTGACCATAATTATATCCTCCTGATTCCTGCTTACAAGCAAAAACTAAAGCAGTAAGCACCAGTGACTCGGTCAATAAAAAAGTGGTCAGATGAAGCAGATGCTAAGCTACAGGACTGTTTTGCTAGCACAGACTGGAATATGTTCCGGGATTCTTCCGATGGCATTGAGGAGTACACCACATCAGTCACTGGCTTCATCAATAAGTGCATCGATTACGTCGGCCCCACAGTGACTGTACGTACATACCCCAACCAGAAGCCATGGATTACAGGCAACATCTGCACTGAGCTAAAGGGTAGAGCTGCCGCTTTCAAGGAGCTGGACTCTAACCTGGAAGCTTATAAGAAATCCCGCTATGCCCTCCGACGAACCATCAAACAGTTAAAGCGTCAATACAGGACTTAGATCGAATCGTACTACACCGGCTCCGACGCTCGTCGAATGTGGCAGGGCTTGCAAACTATTACAGACTACAAAGGGAAGTACAGCCGCGAGCTGCCCAGTGACACAAGCCTACCAGACGAGCTAAATTACTTCTATGCTCGCTTCGAGGCAAGCAACACTGAAACATGCATGAGAGCATCAGCTGTTCCGGATGACTGCGTGATTATGCTCTCTATAGCCGATGTGAGTAAGACCTTTAAACAGGTCAACATTAACAAGGCCGCAGGGCCAGACGGATTACCAGGACGTGTACTCCGAGCATACGCTGACCAACTGGAAAGTGTCTTCACTGACATTTTCAGCCTCTCCCTGTCTGAGTCTGTAATACCAACATGTTTCAAGGAGACCACCATAGTCCCTGTGCCCAAGAACACTAAGGTAACCTGCCTAAATGAGTACCGACCCGTAGCACTCACGTCTGTAGCCATGAAAGGCTGGTCATGGCTCACATCAACACCATTATCCCAGAAACCCTAGACCCACTCCAATTTTCATACCGCCCCAACAGATCCACAGATGATGCAATCTCTATTGCGCTCCACATTGCCCTTTCACACCTGGACAAAAGGAACACCTATGTGACAATGCTATTCATTGACTACAGCTCAGTGTTCAACACCATAGTGCCCTCAAAGCTCATCACTAAGCTAAGGACCCTGGGACTAAACACCTCTCTCTGCAACTGGATCCTGGACTTCCTGACGGGCTGTCCCCATGTGGTAAGGGTAGGTAACAACACATCCGTCATGCTGATTGTCAACACGGGGGCCCCTCAGGGGTGCGTGCTTAGTCCCCTCCTGTACTCCCTGTTCAGTCATGACTGCATGGCCAGACACGACTCCAACAGCATCATTAAGTTTGCCGATGCCACAACAGTGGTAGGCCTGATGACCGACAACGACGAGACAGCCTATAGGGAGGAGGTCAGAGACCTGGCCATGTGGTGCCAGGACAACAACCTCTCCCTCAACGTGATCAAGACAAAGGAGATGATTGTGGACTACAGGAAAAAGAAGAGGACCGAGCATGCCCCCATTCTCATCGACAGGGTTATAGTGCAGCAGGTTGAGAGCTTCAAGTTCCTTGGTGTCCACATCACCAACAAACTAACATGGTCCAAGCACACCAAGACAGTCGTGAAGAGGGCACGATAAAACCTATTATCCCTAAGGAGACTGAAAATATTTGCCATGGGTCCTCAGATCCTCAAAAGGTTCTACAGCTGCATCATCGAGCTTATCCTGACTGGTTGCATCCCTAGTCATAGACTGTTCTCTCTGCTACCACACGGCAAGCGGTACCGGAGCGCCAAGTCTAGGTCCAAGAGGCTTCTAAACAGCTTCTACCCCCAAGCCATAAGACTCCTGAACATCTAATCAAATGGCTACCCCCCCTCTTTTACGCTGCTGCTACTCTCTGTTTATTATCTATGCATAGTCATTTTAATAACTCTACCTACATGTACATATTACCTAAATTACCTCGACTAACCGGTGCCCCCGCACATTGACTCGGTACCAGTACCCTCTGTATACAGCCTCGCTATTGTTATTTTTACTGCTGCCTCTTTAATTATTTGTTACTTTTATTTCGTATTATTTTATATTGTATTTCTTTGTGTGATTTTTTTTGGTATTCTTTCTTAAAACTGCATTGTTGGTTAAGGGCTTGTAAGTAAGCATTTCACTGTAAGGTCTACACCTGTTGTATTCGGCACATGTAAATTTGATTTGATTTGAATAATGTCCCAAAATGTTTTGCATGTCAGCAGTCAAATTATCAAGATATTGGACATTCAAGAAGAAAAGTGTCACCGGCCACATCATCATGATGATGCAAAATGCATTTTTGACCCCCTTTAAGGTAGAGAGACATTAGAGATACCACACTTTCTTTCTCTCACTTTTTCCCCCTCTCTTTCTTTCTTTAGTTCCCCTCAAACAGTTGCCCTGACAAGGATAGCTTGCCTGACAGGGAGCGTATCAAATCTGCAAATACATTTTCTCACCCCACAGAGGGAAGAGAAAAAGAGAGGCTGTTCCAAACGTTTGACTGACATTGTGTCATCGTCATGGTGACTGCCAGGCTATGACTAAGGAACATCAAACCATCCAGAATTGTCAGGAAAAACAGTCACCGTCACAATTCTATGGTTACAGGAACTAGGAACCTTTGGACACCGTTGGAGTGTTAAGCAATTGGATGATGATGAAATGTTTTTCAAAGTGTTTGATTTTATGAGAATCTCTGAATTCTTTGAATGTCTATTCATTCAAAAAAGCTGCAAGTGAAAACTTTTTGATCAAGGTTGTTTCGTTTTGAGTACTACTACACCGTAACTAAAGTGACTGGAGCGGAATAGGTGGAATGGTATCAAATATATCAAACACATGGTTTCCATGGTTTCCAGGTGTATGATGCCATTTCATTTGTTCCGTTCCAGCCATTATTATGAGCAGTTCTCCTGTGCTTACGGTACATCACTCCACCTGACAGGTTTTGTGTCCACGTATCACCTGGCTTCTCATAAGTGGCAGGCAGCTGTAATGTTGCATCATTTCCCCAGCTACACCTTTCCCATACTTACCATCATGCTACACAGTTTCCCTCTGCAGGTGTTCTCTGTTGACTTACTGGAATGCGGCTGGAACCACCAGCGTACCTTTTCAGAGCCAATATGTCACCTTGCCGTAGAACATCAAGGTCTTTATGTCAAGCCAGGGCTTCTGACCCAGTTTGTCTGGCAACTTATCAGAAAGAGATACAGTTGCTGTACCGGTATGATTGGTTGGCTCAACATTTCAAACAAATGTGTTTGAGGAAATACAACTTTTAAACTTTGCTTTAATCAAGGAGTTGTTTGCTTTTGTCATTGCTTGGTTGGTAGTGTTTGCTTAGTGTTGTAATGTGTATGATCTTACTGGAAGCCATGTGTGTCTTCACAAGGGTAGTTGTGGTAAATGTGGTCAATGACAAGTCCAGACCGTAGGGCGTTGCTGATGATTGGCAATTGCATGCGTCATGTGACATCAGAGGGGTTTGGCAGGCAGCCAGCGTTAGGTGACAAACCTAGTTTCTTGTTCCCCTTTTGTTTTGGGAGAACTGTGTTGGAGACTCTAAAGGGGGAGTGGGGAGTTGGCACTCAGGTGATTATTTAGATACATCCTTGACATCCTGAGGTAGAGGGGGTCAACGCAACACCTCTCACAACAGAAAACACTACCAGACTGGTTCTTCAGAGAGGCACAGGGACCAGCCAGATAATAAGAGGTTTGGGAGAGAGGAAAAGCTGAAGAGAGAGACAGAGAGAGAAAGACAAACCCACAGAAATAGTGGAGGGCAGACAAAAGAGGGTGAGAGAGAAAAAGTGTGAGAGGCAGCGAAACAAAGCAGGAGAGTGAAAGAGAGAGAGAAAGCGACTGAATGAGTGGGGCTTTAGAGCGAGATTAGTGTGTGTATGTGTGTCTAAGAGGGAGAGAGAGAGAGAGAGAGTGAGAGGGACAGGCCATTCCCTAGAGGTTTGATCTAGCTCCCAGTAATAGAAGTTTCTTTGCACAGCAGGACCAGTAACAGCCTGCTTTGTGAGAGTAACTTAATGTTCTCTCAACAGCAGGTCACTGCAGACAGAGGGAAAAACGCTAAGGTTGATTTGGGACCTAACGTGCCAGAAGGGAGTGTGAGGGGCTTGTTTGTGACACATCTTGTGTGTGTGAGAAACACTGCAGGTGTTAGAGTGTGTGTGTGTGTGTGTGTGTGTGTAAAAGAGTGCAAGGATGACCAGGAGGTCAGTCCATGGTGAGGGGACTGGGGTGAACAACACCCCCCAAAATGGGGGACACCCAGGGGATAACCCTACCCCAAAAGAGGACCCTGAAGCCCCGCACGGAAAGGTAGAGCTTAAAAAGAAGGTGACCCTGCTTCGGGGAATCTCCATCATCATCGGGACCATCATCGGCGCGGGAATCTTCATCTCTCCCAAGGGAATCCTGAAGAACTCTGGGAGTGTTGGAATGTCTCTGGTGGTGTGGATCGCCTGCGGAGTGCTGTCTCTATTTGGTGAGTCACATGTGTTCGTCGCCACGACGACACCCCACCTCCTCAGGGAGAGAGGGAGGGAGGGAGGGAGGGAGGGAGGAGACAGACCTGAGTAAAGGTGTGCAGAGTGGTTTTATGATGTGTGTGAACTGAAGTTTTGGGGGATGGAGTTTTTGTGTTTTTATTGCTGTTCAGTCTATTGGGTTACGACTCCCCTGCTTCCCCTTCCCTGAAGACACTAGAGCTGATGCATCCTTAAACAAAGTGCTAAACTTGTAAAACAGCTTTTCTTGAGACAATGAGTGTGATTTAAAGCTTAGGGGGATGGATGAACTTTGCTAACTGTCTGCTGCTATGGGAAAGCGTCCGCTTCTAATCTAGTATTATTTCATCATAAAACTGTAATTACAGAAGCATTATTGTAGCTACTGCCTTCTAACTTACCATCAAACTGCTGAAACCTCAATTACCCTTTACACTAACCTATCTTGCATTCTCTCTCTCTCTCTCTCTCTCTCTCTCTCTCTCTCTCTCTCTCTCTCTCTCTCTCTCTCTCTCTCTCTCTCTCTCTCTCTCTCTCTCAATTCAATTTCAATTTAAGGGCTTTATTGGCATGGGAAACATATGTTAACATTGCCAAAGCAAGTGAAGTAGATAGTAAACAAAAGTAAAATAAACAATAAATATTAACTGTAAACATTACACTCAGAAGTTCCAAAAGAATAAAGACATTTCAAATGTCATATTACAGTTTTTCTCAATTGCTAAAACACAATTTCTGAAACCTTGCTCCATTTCCTGAAAACATTAAACACAAAACCTCATCTTCAAGCACTATTTACAAAACCTCTGACTTCTCTCGCAAAATGAAACATTCGCCTCAAAACAGTTTTACCTGTGTTCAAAATCAAACACTGCTCTCAAATCATAAACAAAGTGATCAAAATGACTCTCAAGCAGTCAGTAAACAATACACCGAAAAATAGAAAACACATTGTTCAAAACATACAGTTCTCAGGGAGAAGTACATTTTTAATCTCAAAACAAATTTCATATTTTTCCGTCATTGTCTTTTGATGAACGAAAACATGTTCTATCATAGTAGCTCAAAATTGATCAGAAATTACTACTCTGCTTTGCTCTTTGCAATTTTGTTTTTTGTTCTTCCTCCTCCTTGTACCCCTATTTTTACAGTACTGTACCCTGCATCTCACAAACGTGTCCTTTGTCTCTGTAATACTGTAATTATTGTTCTTTGTTGACATGAACCTGCAACCAGTCAAAATTAGCAGTCAGTACTGTTAACAAATGGAAAGCACAATGTTCAGGGCCATACAATTTGTCCATTGTACAGTATACAGCCAACAATGCACTGTACTACAGTATACAGTACTAAAAGGGACAAAAATCAAAGGAGTAAACATGTGATCAATGTGCTTCTTCTTGTCTTTGGGCTGGGTCAGGCCAGAGCACTTCGTCGACATCACAAGCAATATTGTCCCTCCTGAGGCAACGGGGGAAGAAGCCTCTTGTGTGCCGTATCCAGCCCTGACATGATTCCTCACCTATATCACCACAGGCTAAATCCATGGCTTGCAGCAGATTTACTTTGGTGTAGGGTTGTCTATCATACACTTTCCATCTCCAAGAGGAGAAAAACTCCTCAATCGGATTCAGGAAAGGTGAGTATGGAGGGAGGTACAAGTTCATAAACTGCCCATTGATGTTAAACCATTCCCTTACCTGAGCAGCTCGGTGGAAACTGACATTGTCCCACACTATCACATAGGTGGGAATGGGATTCTCATTTAGCTCCTGACCCTGCTGCTCTTGAACCTGCTGCTCAAATAAAATATATCTTAGATTGGCAATAAATCTTAGAAGGTGCTGGGTGTTATATGGCCCGAGTGTAACATGGTGATGTAGAACACCATGGTTGCTGATAGCAGCACAGATTGTGACATTGCCACCTCGTTGACCAGGGACTTCAACAATGGCCCGCTGTCCAATCATGTTTCGGCCTCTCCTTCTCCTCTTTGTTAGATTGAAGCCTGCTTCATCGACAAAGATGAACTCATGGGGTCTGTCCAAGGATTCCAAGTCAAATATTGTCTGTGTAGAAATACAATATACTGTATGTAGGATTTTGTAAGTCGTACAGAGACAGTGCTATACTGTAGAGTACAATTAGGCCTACTGTATGCACTTCTGATTCACATACATTGTATGTACTGAAGAGTAATGTCATTCACATAGTATGTGTTAGTACTGTAGACAATCTGGATTACAGTAAATGTTTCTGAATGTACACTTACATGCACATACTGAGCTCGCAGTTCTTTCACCCTTGGTGAGTTGCGCTCAAAAGGTACTCTGTATACTTGTTTCATTCGCATCCTGTTACAATTGTGGAAATGCTCACACTGTCGATTCCCTGGAAGTGTGTGTTGTCTTGTATCACCCACTCCTGGATTTCTCTGAATCGTATTGCATTATCTTGAAGGACTATGCCAACTATAACGGCCTCTTGCTCCCGAGTGAATATAGCTGTCCTTCCACCTACATGTGGCAGCCTTGCAATTCTACAAAAAGTAGTTGTGCAGTTACAAAACATATTCATGCAGTACAAAACATACAGTGATTAACTTTACAAATGTCTATTGAAACAGCTGCATATAGTGTAGTACAGTAAATTTGCAATTACAAAAATACAGTAGTATACTGTACCTGTTCTCTTCTCTGAATGTCCTTTACAATGGTGGACACAGAAAATCGGCTCAAATTGGGTTGCACTCTAAGTCCTGCTTCCCTCATTTTCAGTCCATGGACAAGAACATGGTCTATGACTGTTGCTCGAATATCATCAGATATTTCCACTCTTTGTCTTCCTCTTCATCCTCCTCTTCCTCTTTCTTGCCCTCCTCCTCTTCCTCCTCGTCGCCCACCTCGCATACGCACTCGTTAAATCAATTTTGAGTGGTGATGTTCAATCAATGACATGTGTTCTCTATTTGTATTTGATTGTTGCCACTTGTGTTTACCAGTATGGATGACATGTGCATTAGAGAGCAGAATGTGTTTTGAGAATGAGAATGTGTTTAGAGTTTTGCTGAAAAGTCTAAGTGAGATCTGCAAATTGTGTTTTACCATGTGAAATGGTTTAAGGTATTGACAACAGACTACATAATTAGCTAAATGAGTCCAGGCAACTGAGAACTTTGTTCAGCCAATGGGTTTTCGTGTTTTAGCAATTGAGAAAAACTGTATGTATATATACAGTGTTGTAACAATGTGCAAATAGTTAAAGTACAAATGGGAAAATAAATAAACATAAATATGGGTTGTATTTACAATGGTGTTTGTTCTTCACTGGTTGCCCTTTTCTTGTGGCAACAGGTCACAAATATTGCTGCTGTGATGGCACACTGTGGTTTTTCACCCAGTAGATAAGGGAGTTTATCAAAATTGGGTTTGTTATCGAATTCTTTGTGGACCTCTGTAATCTGAGGGAAATATGTGTCTCTAATATGGTCATACATTTGGCAGGAGGTTAGGAAGTGCAGCTCAGTTTCCACCTCATTTTGTGGGCAGTGTGCACATAGCCTGTCTTCTCTTGAGAGCCAGGTCTGCCTACAGCGGCCTTTCTCAATAGCAAGGCTATGCTCACTGAGTCTGTACATAGTCAAAGTTTTCCTTAAGTTAGGGTCAGTCACAGTGGTCAGGTATTCTGCCCCTGTGTACTCTCTGTTTTGGGCCAAATAGCATTCTAGTTTGCTCTGTTTTTTTGTTAATTCTTTCCAATGTGTCAAGTAATTCTCTTTTTGTTTTCTCATGATTTGGTTGCGTCTAATTGTGTTGTTGTTGTCCTGGGGCTCTGTGGGGTCTGTTTGTGTTTGTGAACAGAGCCTCAGGACCAGCTAACTTAGGGGACTCTTCTCCAAGTTCATCTCTCTGTAGGTGATGGCTTTGTTATGGAAGGTTTGGGAATGACTTCCTTTTAAGTGGTTATAGAATTTAACGGCTCTTTTCTGGATTTTGATAATTAGCGGGTATCGGCCTAATTCTGCTCTGCATGCATTATTTGGTGTTTTTCGTTGTACACAGAGGATATTTTTGCAGAATTCTGCATGCAGATTCTCAATTTGGTGTTTGTCCCATTTTGTGAATTCTTGGTTGGTGAGTGGACCCCAGACCTCACAACCATAAAGGGCAATGGGTTCTATAACTGATTCAAGTATTTTTAGCCAGATCCTAATTGGTATGTCGAATTTTATGTTCCTTTTGATGGCATAGAAGGTCCTTCTTGCCTTGTCTCTCAGATCGTTCACAGCTTTGTGGAAGTTATCTGTGGCGCTGATGTTTAGGCCGAGGTATGTATAGTTTCTTGTGTGCTCTAGGGCAACAGTGTCTAGATGGAATTTTTATATTTGTGGTCCTGGCAACTGGACCTTTTTTGGAACACCATTATTTTTGTCTTACTGAGATTTACTGTCTGGGCCCAGGTCTGACAGAATCTGTGCGCGCACACACACACACACACACACACACACACACACACACACACACACACACACACACACACACACACACACACACACACACACACACACACACACACACACACACACACACACACACACACAAACACACACACACACACACACACACACACACACACAGAGCTGTAGGATCTTAAAGGGATACTACTTACCCAGAGTCAGGTGAACTCGTGGATACCATTTTTATGTCTCTGCGTACAGTATGAACAAAGTTAGCGGTAGTTTGCGAGCCAATGCTAACTAGCATAGTGCAATGACTGTAAGTCTACAAGTACGGTAGCATTGCTACTGTACTTGTAGACTTCCAGTCATTGCAATGCTACCTAACTTCCTTCATACTGCACACAGACACATAAAAATGACAGAATCCTACAGTTTCCCTTTAATTTGACCTATATTGTCACAGCAAAATAATCCTGCAGCAAGAGGATTTGAACGTTTAGTTTATAATGTTGCTTGATTGGTGGTTAGGCTATTAGCTGGCCAAAAGTAGACTACATGAAAAGTGCAATACTGTTAATATAACCATGTGTTAGTGTGGGTTTTCAGTTAATTTATATAAATCACGAAGCTCATCTGCATTTCCTAGAAACATTCTCAGCAACAAGAGTGATGAAATTAAGGTCCTACACTTTTACAATGCATGTGATGAAAATACAATGAATCACATTTTCCTCTTACAGTAGCCTGTTTGTTGCTGTTGCTGATGCGATCACTGTTTCTAGATGGCTAGTCAGTCCCCTGTTCTAAACATTTCCCTCTCTCCTATCCCAGGGGCCCTGTCCTATGCAGAGCTGGGAACCAGCATCAAGAAGTCTGGAGGACATTATACCTATATTCTGGAGGCTTTTGGACCACAGATGGCCTTCATACGTCTCTGGGCTGACCTCATCGCCATCAGGTGTGTGTGTGTGTGTGTGAAAGTATTTATTGTGTGTGTTTCTTGCATGTGTGTGTGTGCACGTGTGTGTGTGTGTGACAGAGATAGAGGCTGAAAGGGGGTAGATACTTGCAATACGGTATGTGCATGTCACTCTATACTGTCTGTTTGTGAGAAGGGGAGGGGCGTCCTAGCGTAGATCTCAGTGTTGTACAGATAGTAAAGCCATTTTGATCCCATCCTGGTTCGTTGATACCCGTGGTAGCGCAGCAGGGTAAACAAACCTGCTATACTATAATGTACTGCAGGTTATCCTCAGGCCAGGGGGATGTATGGTTTTGGGTCTATTGGAAATGAACAGTGATCTGGGATGAGCCCACAGACTGTGCAACAGTTATTACATTCTTATCAGAGCCAAGACCAATAGAAAACACTGGAATTGGTTCACTTCCACATATTTTGGATACGTAGTGTGAATACCTACCTGCTGTATAGTGTAATAATGTATCAGTGTTCTGAGAAATAAGTTTGACTGTTCTTAGCTTGTACATGTCTGACCAGCTTTTGTTCCAGATATTTGGAATATATAACATTTGTCATTTCATTCTGGACACTGAGTACCTTTAGTTAAATGTATGTACTCAATGTCCTTTATGTTTATCTCTAAAGTATCCCTTTCATATCCGTAATAATCATATATTTTTTAATGTTTCTGTCTCAACTGAACCTAGCAGACAGCTTTGAGTTAGTAATCACTGAATATCAGTAATAATAGTTCCATTGACTGTTATAAACAAGTGTGAGGTTATGTAAGACAGGTTTGTGTCAGTAGGAGGTCATATGCTCCCTAACACTCTGAACAGTGCATGCTGCCCCAGATCTCACAGCTTTGTGGGTCAGCATTTCCGGTCACTGTGTTTGCTGCACGTGTATTTTTGGGTCAGTGTTTTTGGATCTGTGTGTGACGGTTTTGTCTGTTCTAGACCTGCAGGGTTGGCAGTGATATCCCTGGCCTTTGGACAATATATCCTGGAGCCCATATTCATGCCCTGTGGAGTGCCCGAGATCGCTATCAAACTGGCCACCTCTATAGGACTAAGTATGTCTAAGATTTATGCTACAGTATTATATTGAATTGAACAAACGTTGGAATATAGGATTTTATTGCTTATCAGTGAGATGGTTCAGCTGAATATAAAATGTGTGTGCGTTTGTTTGCGTGTGTTTGTGTGTGTGTGTACTACTCCACAGCGTCAGTGATGTATCTCAACAGTATGAGTACGAGCTGGACAAACAGGATTCAGATCTTCCTCACCTTTAGCAAGCTGCTGGCCATCGCCATCATCATCGTACCTGGCCTCTATATGCTCTTCAAAGGTAAGCCTTCATCATCTTAATCCTCATCCATCCTCATCCTCATCCTCATTGTCGCATTAATCATCATCATCATCATCATCATCATCATCATCATCATCATCATCATCATTATCATCACATTCATCCTCATCCTCATCATCCTCATTATCACATCAATCATCATCATCATCATCATCATCATTATCATCACATTCATCCTCATCCTCATCCTCATCATCATCATCATCATCATCATCATTATCATCACATTCATCCTCATCCTCATTATCACATTAATCATCATCATCATCATCATCATCATTATCATCACATTCATCCTCATCCTCATCCTCATCCTCATCCTCATCTATCCTCATCCTCATCCTCATTGTCGCATTAATCATCATCATCATCATCATCATTATCATCACATTCCTCATCCTCATCCTCATCATCCTCATCCTCATTGTCACATTAATCATCATCATCATCATTATCATCACATTCCTCATCCTCATCCTCATCATCCTCATCCTCATCATCATCATCATCATCATTCTCATACTCATTATTGCATGAATAATCATCATCATCCTCATCATCCTCATCCTCATCATCATCATCCTCACATTCATCCTCATCATCATCATCATCATCCTCATTATCTCATTCACCATCATCATCATCATCATCCTCACATTCATCCTCATCATCATCATCCTCATTATCTCATTCACCATCATCATCATCACATCATCCTCATCATCATCACATTCATCCTCATCATCATTATCATTATTATCATCCTCATCATCATCATCACCATCATCACCATCATCATATATTTTACACTGGATTAAAACAACAGAAATGGCATGCTTACACTCACATCACATTGAATCCCGCACTATTTCTTGTCTCTCATCAAAAACCTTGAAATCCTGTTAGTGGTACATAGGGTTATATTTGTTTGTTTGTTACAGGTACATTCCAAAGATCCCACCACTTTACCAGGTGTACTTTAACTAGCCGATTAAACTCAACTCCACGGTGTCTAATGGCTACAGAGTACCTGCACTACACATTACAGGCTGTAATAACTACAGAGTGGCTGCAGGCCTATACATAGCTAACAGGCTTGATGTTCTGCCATACCAATGTTCATTGAACATCAGTGCATTTCAGCTTTTAGAGGGTTATTATCTGCCCCTTTGGAAGTGTGTTCCATTAGACAGAAATACACTACATACGTGTGTATTGTACTGGAATGCTCTTACGGGTGCATTCTTATACATACCCATGCTGATATACAGTGGGGAAAAAAAGTATTTAGTCAGCCACCAATTGTGCAAGTTCTCCCACTTAAAAAGATGAGAGAGGCCTGTAATTTTCATCATAGGTACACGTCAACTATGACAGACAAATTGAGAAAAAAAAATCCAGAAATCAAATTGTAGGATTTTTAATGAATTTATTTGCAAATTATGGTGGAAAATAAGTATTTGGTCAATAACAAAAGTTTCTCAATACTTTGTTATATACCCTTTGTTGGCAATGACACAGGTCAAACGTTTTCTGTAAGTCTTCACAAGGTTTTCACACACTGTTGCTGGTATTTTGGCCCATTCCTCCATGCAGATCTCCTCTAGAGCAGTGATGTTTTGGGGCTGTTGCTGGGCAACACAGACTTTCAACTCCCTCCAAAGATTTTCTATGGGGTTGAGATCTGGAGACTGATTAGGCCACTCCAGGACCTTGAAATGCTTCTTACGAAGCTACTCCTTCGTTGCCCGGGCGGTGTGTTTGGGATCATTGTCATGATGAAAGACCCAGCCACGTTTCATCTTCAATGCCCTTGCTGATGGAAGGAGGTTTTCACTCAAAATCTCACGATACATGGCCCCATTCATTCTTTCCTTTACACGGATCAGTCATCCTGGTCCCTTTGCAGAAAAACAGCCCCAAAGCATGATGTTTCCACCCCCATGCTTCACAGTAGGTATGGTGTTCTTTGGATGCAACTCAGCATTCTTTGTCCTCCAAACACGACGAGTTGAGTTTTTACCAAAAAGTTATATTTTGGTTTCATCTGACCATATGACATTCTCCCAATCCTCTTCTGGATCATCCAAATGCACTCTAGCAAACTTCAGACGGGCCTGGACATGTACTGGCTTAAGCAGGGGGACACGTCTGGCACTGCAGGATTTGAGTCCCTGGCGGCGTAGTGTGTTACTGATGGTAGGCTTTGTTACTTTGGTCCCATCTCTCTGCAGGTCATTCACTAGGTCCCCCCGTGTGGTTCTGGGATTTTTGCTCACCGTTCTTGTGATCATTTTGACCCCACGGGGTGAGATCTTGCGTGGAGCCCCAGATCGAGGGAGATTATCAGTGGTCTTGTATGTCTTCCATTTCCTAATAATTGCTCCCACAGTTGATTTCTTCAGACCAAGCTGCTTACCTATTGCAGATTCAGTCTTCCCAGCCTGGTGCAGGTCTACAATTTTGTTTCTGGTGTCCTTTGACAGCTCTTTGGTCTTGGCCATAGTGGAGTTTGGAGTGTGACTGTTTGAGGTTGTGGACAGGTGTCTTTTATACTGATAACAAGTTCAAACAGGTGCCATTAATACAGGTAACGAGTGGAGGACAGAGGAGCCTCTTAAAGAAGAAGTTACAGGTCTGTGAGAGCCAGAAATCTTGCTTGTTTGTAGGTGACCAAATACTTATTTTCCACCATAATTTGCAAATAAATTCATTAAAAATCCTACAATGTGATTTTCTGGAATTTTTTTTCTCAATTTGTCTGTCATAGTTGACGTGTACCTATGATGAAAATTACAGGCCTCTCTCATCTTTTTAAGTGGGAGAACTTGCACAATTGGTGGCTGACTAAATACTTTTTTCCCCCACTGTACTTAGAAATATGTATTTAGTCAACAATCAGCTAGAATCGATATTCCTTGGTTTTTGTGTAATTCCCTCTTTGTGGCTGTGTGTGTCTCTGTGTGTGTGTGTGTGTTTGTGCATACAGGGGAGACTAAGAACTTTGAGAATGCGTTTGAGGTCAGTAATATCAAGCTCACAGGTCTTCCTCTGGCCTTCTACTCTGGGATGTACGCCTATGCTGGGTGGTAGGTAATGACTTCTTATAGCATAATTAGTTTTTATATCTAATTCTAGGTGACACTTTACATAAAGCCAACAGGTATGCATTATTAACTTGTCATGAGCTCTTGTTATCTATATCCTAATGTCATATTATTGTAAAGCTCGAACTTTTGTCCAACAGGTTTTACCTTAACTTTGTGACTGAGGAAGTAGAGAACCCCGAAAAGTGAGTTTCTCATTTCATATCTAATTTACGCAGGTTTACCTGATCGTAAGGTGAGATTAAGTTACGTTTTGATTGGGTTGCTGGTCTCAAATGTTTACATTTCCTCAGGACTGTGCCATTGGCCATCTGTATCTCCATGGCGATAGTCACTTCCTGCTACGTGTTGACCAATGTGGCTTACTACACTGTGATGTCAGCAGAGGAGCTGTTGGCCTCACAAGCCGTCGCCGTGGTAAGGCATCTAACAAACTCTCTGTCTATTGGCCAATTTCATTGACACTGATCATACTACCCCCCCTGGAGTCCTATAGATTTCTGTGTGTGATGTATTGATACACTTGAGGTGTATTGACTGCAGTCTCACACCTCGTTCATCAGAGCCTAATTCCATCTAGCTCTGAGGAGTGACTGATCTGTGGTGTTGCTTTCCTGCACTCTAAACTGCTCTTAAACTTTCATCATTAGTGGGCCGCCAAGCCCAACACCTATGCTTCCCAGTATGGCCTAATGTGATTCCACACAGTTCATCCCTCTCAATAATAATTACATTAGGTCCAGTGTAAATGACATAGTCTTAGACAGAGCCTAAAATTAGTCTGCACACTGTTCTCCGGCCAGTTTGGTGTAGGGGGAGATTCATTCACTAAAAGGGCACTGATCTGATCAGACCTTTCTAATGGAGTAAGTTTCATTACAGTTTAAAAGGTCTGTGATGCTGCTCTTAAGGAAAGTTTGAATGCATTTAGCTACCTACAGTTGAAGTTGGAAGTTTACATACACCTTAACCAAATACATTTAAACAAGTTTTTCACAATTCCTGACATTTAATCCTAGTAGAAATCCCTGTTTTAGGTCAGTTATGATCACCACTTTATTTTAAGAATGTGAAATGTCAGAATAATAGTAGAGAGAATGATTTATTTCAGCTTTTATTTCTTTCATCAGAAAGTTTACATACACTCAATTAGTATTTGGTAGCATTGCCTATAAATTGTTTAACTTGGGTCAAACGTTTCAGGTAGCCTTCCACAAGCTTCCCACAATAAGTTGGGTGAATTTTGGCCCATTCCTCCTGACAGAGCTGGTGTAACTGAGTCAGGTTTGTAGGCCTCCTTGCTCGCACACGCTTTTTCAGTTCTGGTCAGGGCTTTGTGATGGCCACTCCAATACCTTGACTTTGTTGTCCTTAAGCCATTTTGCCACAACTTTGGAAGTATGCTTGGGGTCATTGTCCATTTGGAAGACCCATTTGCGACCAAGCTTTAACTTCCTGACTGATGTCTTGAGATGTTGCTTCAATATATCCACATCATTTTCCTTCCTCATGATGCCATCTATTTTGTAAAGTGCACCAGTCCCTCCTGCAGCAAAGCACCCCCACAGCATGATGCTGCCACCCCCGTGCTTCACGGTTGGGATGGTGTTCTTCGGCTTGCAAGCATCCCCCTTTTTCCTCCAAACATAATGATGGTCATTATGGCCAAACAGTTCTATTTTTGTTTCATCGGACCAGAGTACATTTATCCAAAAAGTACAATCTTTGTCCCCATGTGCAGTTGCAAACTGTAGTCTGGCTTTTTTATGGCGGTTTTGGAGCAGTGGCTTCTCCCTTGCTGAGCGGCCTTTCATGTTATGTCGATATAGGACTTGTTTTACTGTGGATATAGATACTTTTGTACCTGTTTCCTCCAGCATCTTCACAAGGTCCTTTGCTGTTGTTCTGGGATTTATTTGCACTTTTCGCACCAAAGTACGTTCATTTCTAGGAGACAGAACACGTCTCCTTCCTGAGCGGTATGACGGCTGTGTGGTCCCATGGTGTTTATAGTTGCGTACTATTGTTTGTACAGATGAACGTGGTACCTTCAGGCGTTCGGAAATTGCTACCAAGGATGAACCAGACTTGTGTTTTTTTCTGAGGTCTTGGCTGATTTCTTTTGATTTTCCCATGATGTCAAGCAAAGAGGAACTGAGTTTGAAGGTAGGCCTTGAAATACATCCACAGGTACACCTCCAATTGACTCAAATGTTGTCAATTAGCCTATCAGAAGCTTCTAAAGCCATGACATCATTTTCTGGAATTTTCCAAGCTGTTTAAAGGCACAGTCAACTTAGTGTATGTAAACTTCTGATCCAAGTGAAATAATCCGTCTGTAAACAATTGTTAGAAAAAATTACTTGTGACATGCACATAATAGATATCTTAACCGACTTGCCAAAACTATAGTTTGTTAAAAATACATTTGTGGAGTGGTTGAAAAACGAGTTTTAATGACTCCAACCTTAGTGTATGTAAACTTCTGACTTCAACTGTATGTTCTTAAACTAGATGTTCAGTGAATTGAGAATCTTTGTCTGTATCTCTTTGTCCCTGTTTGTTTCATACTATTTCTCTCTCTCTCTCTCTCTCTCTCTCTCTCTCTCTGTCTCTCTCTCTCTCTCTCTCTCTCTCTCTCTCTCTCTCGCTCTCTGTCTGTCTGTTTTGTGTGCAGACATTTGCAGAGAAGATGATGGGGAACTTTTCAGTGGCAGTGCCGGTATTTGTGGCCTTGTCGTGCTTCGGTTCGATGAACGGCTGCTTGTTCGCTTTCTCAAGGTGGGCTGCATCAACGCAGGTGTCAAACCCCAGCCTTGGCTAGCTTTTCCTGCCAAGGAGAATGAAAAAATGCCTTCCCTCCCAGACACAACTTACGGGGACTGTGTGTGAGGAATCTGTGTTATACAGAAGTTTGGATGTGGAGGTCGAACATAGAATATGCATTATAGTGGTATAGTGAAAACACAATAGCTGAAATTGCTTTACTTAGACACCGGCAACTTCCGACCCTGTAAAACAACACATTTCACTGCCCCTATCCAGTGTACGTGACAATAAAACATTTACTTTTTTTTGTTGCTTTTTTTTGGTAGTATTTCAGATTTTCTCATGTAACCCTGAAGTTTGTGTTGGTCATTCTAGAATTTTCTATGTGGCTTCACGGGAAGGCCATCTTCCTGAGGTTCTGTCCATGATCCACGTCCGCAGACACACACCTTTGGCAGCTGTCATCATTCTGGTCAGATAAACATATATATATTTTTTCATACACACGTCATTGTTTACTGTTTTTATGAGGACCTGCTCTTTAGGGTCCACAATTAATACTTTGCATTCCTTCCTGTATTCATTGTTTGCATGTTTTAACTGTTTACATGCTTTGTGGTTACCTTTTAGCATCTCTGCCACATCCTCATTGGATCCGTGTGTGTTCTGTTTGTGTGTGTGTGTGTGTGTGTATATCTGTGTGTTCTTTCCCTGTGTGTATCTCCAGTACCCTATGACGGTGTTCCAGCTGTTTGTGGGCGATATCTACAGCCTGTTGAACTTCATGAGCTTCCTCCGCTGGCTCTTCATTGGCGTGGCTGTACTGGGCCTCATCTACATGAGATACACACGCCCTGACATGCCACGCCCTTTCAAGGTCAGTCCAACCCACGTGAATACGTACATACCCACATACACACACAGGCAGGCACGTAGTCACAGACACACATTCACATACACACATCAAAGTTGATGATGACAGCTCTCCTTCGGTGCCACTTCATGCGGCTGTGGAGGCCGATGCACGAGCCGCGGATATGCAAGCATCTTGCACATATGGACACACAAATAGAGTATGAGTCTGTCTATTGTCTGTCCTAGTCAACTACTGAACGCTTTACATTATTGGTCCTTGAGTCCTTTGTACTTCTTTGTCTTTCTCTCCAGGTTCCTCTTTTCATTCCAGCCATTTTCTCCTTCACCTGTTTCTTCATGGTGTTCCTCTCTCTCTACTCCGACCCCATCAACACAGGGATAGGATTCGCCATCTCCCTAACAGGAATCCCAGCCTACTATATCTTCATTGTGTTTGACCGCAGACCCAAGTGGCTACAGAATGGTTTAGGTAACACGCTACCTACAGTTAGAAGCCATTACATGAACTTTACATAACAGTGAAAATCATACATACTACTGACATACAGACAGCAAAGGATTGATCAGTGCTTCAGTGGACAATGAAACTCTACATGCATAGCTTACTATAACATATAAGCAATTTCCAATACATTTTCAGCATGGCATCTTATCATAATTGCTGCATTAATACCAATAATGTATCCATTTTGACACAATAATATTTTCCTAACCACTGAGCATACTGTATCATAATGGTTTTTCTATGTATTTTATTCTGTCGTCAGATTCCTTTAACAGATCTGTCCAGATCATCCTGGAGGTGATCCCAGCAGAACACTGACACCAGATCAGGTTCCCACACCAGATCCGTATTTATGATCATCCACACCACCAGATCCCCAATCCTTGACCACACCTCCACACCACAGGAGAACGAACTCGTGTTAATGAGTGGAGCGGAATTAGTGGAATGGT